GCAGCGAGGATGAGGCTGGCACAGAGCAGGGTGGTGAGCAGGGTCAGGGCACACACCAGGTGACTGTGTTCCCTGAGCCCCACGGGAACCTCCAGCATCAATTCCTCCCGTGCCTGCAAGGAAAAACAAATGGATTGTACTCATTTAACAAACGGCTCCATTTTGCCTGCAACTGAGAGGATGAGTAACCAGACCCTGATTTAACCAGCCCTTGGCCGAGGCTTCTTCTGGGATTTGAAATCAAAACCAAGATGGGACATCCCCTTTCTAATGCTCAGCAAACACAGTGCCAGCCACTGCTGCACTGCAAAGCTCAGTAAATGGACCTGCTGCCACTTGTATCCCTGTATCTCTGCTCCTACACCCCTGGGGATGTGTAGGGAATACCACATGGAGGAGAGCAGCTCTCACAGTGAAGTCAGATCAATGAGAAGACAGATTTCCCCAGGGTAAACAACTATTTGGTTTTTTGTGGATGCAGGAAGCTCCAAAGTGTTTTTGGACAAGAGCTGCAGATATCCCAGGCATCTCCAAGCATCTAATGAAGGCATAATTACAACAACAACAGATTTTTTATTATATAAATCAAGTCTTATTTCTGAATTTCTATGCTACTGCGACCCTTCTGAGCATCAAAGGCAGTTGTTGAACATACTAAAGATCCAATTTCCCTTGGTTTTGAACACAGAATAAGAAATTTCACCTTTCCTAAATACTTACCCAATCAGATACCAACAAACAAACAGAAGTGGCCTTTTTTTTTAGGATGCTATTCCTTAAATCTTTGCAGTTTTACCCCTCCTTTAGTTATATCATCAAGTAGTTTTTCACTCTGCTATTCCTCTGAAGCACCAACATTGTAAAGACTTTTCTTAATTTGACCAGAGCCAGTTATATCCTAAAATTCCAAGTAAACTAGTAAGGAAAAAAAAAATAGGTGAGAAGAGCAGCCATCCCAAAGGGCCAGAAGAGCACAGAGTGACTGTAAGCACAGCAGAAGGGCAGGATGACCAAAAGCCACTCAGAAAGGAAGAAAGGAGCCTCACAAAGGGGGAACCACCCAACTAGTCTTCTACTGATTAATTCCTGTGCTATGGAAGTTGCTGATCACACCAAAAAAAGAAGCAGGAAATGCTAAAAAGAACCAGAAAGGAGAACTCACGGGTCTGTGTGTTGTGCTGTGCCACTGACAGGGACCGACGTTCTCGGCCAAGCAGGGAGCTCCCACTTCAGCAGGCTCCCAACACTCTGCTGCCAGCTGACCTAGGGAAGGCATCAGTGCATCAGCAGGAGCCAGGGGGGATGAAGCAATCTGGCCTGCAAGACTCTGCCAAATAAGGGATCTTTCCCCCACAACAGCTTGACAGAATCAACTCCCTGGAAGGCAAGCGGTGAAACAGCACTGACAGGAACATGCCAGCTCCCCTGCACGGCCAAAGTGATGCTGGGCAGTCCTTCCTGTGAACTCTGCAACAATTCCCTTCCTGATACAGCAGGTAACCAAGAAAGAAGCTCACCTGTGTGGCATCTTGGCCCTTCTGTCTTAACAGGGCAAAGAATTCCTGGTTAGCCTATAGATCCCTCAACTTTACCCATACTTAGAATTTTCCCCAAAGTAAGTAATTTTTCCATTTCTCCTTCTTGGCCTTCTGTCAGCACATGCAAGACCTCCCTTCCAATGCTTTACACATTTTCATAATAATAATAAATGTTTTCCTGTTTGTAAGGAGTAAATGTGGCAGAAAAACAGGAAGATTTCAGGCCCCTTTTTTAAAAGAAAAGGCAGTCTTGCCTGCCCCTACATTTACCCCAGAAAATCACTGCTCAAAGGATGCACAAGTGAAGATAAAGAAGTTGAAAACCATTAGTGTGTTTGATTTGGCAGCTGGCAGGAATGATTTTGTGAAGGGACACAAGATTTGCAGCAAAACTATAAGATTTCATTGTTCATATAACTTGAAATATTCATTGTCAGTGGTATCAGGTTCTCGTTTCATCCGAGTTTGAGACTCTGACCATTCTAAGCCTCAGGCACAGTTTCCTACATTCCCCCTTTACACAGACGGAATGCAGGAACAAAGTGTTAGAAACCATCAGAATACTTTGATTCCTCTAAATAGGCGACAGTGGATATTAAATACACCCTGCACAGCTTCAGCTGCCAAGGGAAACACTGGGAGCATGGTCAGAGCAGGAGGCCTTTGGCAAGCCAGGGCCTGCCGGGATCACAACAAACACATGGATCGTGACAACTGCCAACACTTCCAGCTGGAAGAACCCAGACAGCACAGGGGTACAATGGCAGCAGCATAACACCAAGAGGTGTGCTGACAATCCATCTGCCTTTGGCCAGGCAGCAGCACCCAGCGAGGAAGACAACGTGGTCTTTATCAGGGCCACACCTTCCCCTCGTGCTCACACAAGCACCAAGAGCTCCGTGTCCAGCAAAAAAATACAGAGCCAGACTCCAAGCTCTGGATTACCCATGGTTATTCCTCTCTCCCCAGAAAAACATCGTGGAGAATCTCACTGTGGCAGCAGCAGAGCAGCACTTCTGGGCTCTCCAGAACGACCAAGGCTTGCTGGCTGCCCTCGGCGGGCCGGTGGTACCGCGCGTGCACGGGCACAGCAGCGCGGAAACAGCGGGAACACCGCGGGTCTGCTTCCAGGTACAGCACCAGGACAAGAGCCGTGGCCAAGTACTCGGGAGCCTCCACATCAGTGACATCAGGAATTAGCACCGCCTGCGAGTGGGAGAGATACAGGTGTGGCTGTGATGGGAACTGACACCGGGGGGAAAACAATTTCCCTCGTTTTATTTTCTAGCACTGGGCTTGATTTCGTGGTCAGGATGATCAAGCTGGAAATTCTGGCCTTAAGCTGCTCCAAAATACCTTTCTAAGTCCCTCTCCAATGAGTGATTCCTAGTGAAAAGCTTAGTGTCACTGTGCCTGCAGCCAAACCTGGGAGGCATCAGCTCAACGAGGTGAGTAAGCAAGGCCGGACCTGCACCTCAGGCACCACAAAGGCAGAAGGTGCCCATAGCCTTTGCATCCATGTTTTAACCAAATTAAGCACCTAAGGAAATTTAAGCCACAGCCTTTGTGCACCTCTGTATCCAAAATGTGAAGCAAAGACTGGAAAGTAACACAGAAAGCCAGGATGAAAACAAAGCTGGGAAGCTACTCCATCCAAACACACAGCACACTGCTTACAGCTCCCCACCACCCTTCTGGAGGTTACCCTTCCCCCTTCTCAACCCGAGTGCTTTTCCCAGAGCTGCTCACCTGGGGGCTAAGCAGAGGAGCAGCAGCTCCACCAGACAGTGTATAAGAATATCAGCAGCACACAACACAAAACTGATGCTGATCAAACCAGAGATACAGTGAGACGTCACGAAGATGATTCTGTGTGGCATCTCCTTCCAGGGATTAATCCCCTTGGTGCAACAAACCAGATGATGAGCAGAGATTACAACTCCCTGAGTCCCTATCCAGGTCACTGCCAGATCTCCTGGCATTGGGGCCGTTACCTTGGTTAAATTTTGCTGCTGCAGCATCGCCAGTTCATAGGAATCCACGTAGATTCCTGGTGGAAGACGAGTTCTAGCTGCCACTGCACATCCCCCTGCATCCTCCCCAAGCTCCACCTTCACCAGCAGGTCCCTTAAAGCAAGAACAGAAGCAAAACAGTTATACCTGCCCTTCAAAAGTTGGCACAAAACCCCCGAGAGACATCTCCCAGATGCACAGAGAAGAGATGCAGCTCTCACACTGTGCAATTCATTCAGAACACAGTTCCCTCCAAGCCGTGGTCTCCTTCACCCCAACTCCACATCCATGGCCAAAATGAAGTTTCACTTCTTTGTTAACTTCTCAATTACCAACTGTCTCCACAGAGATCTTAGAAAGGGAACTCCAGTGAGGAGTGTTCTCCTCCACTAGAGCTTGTTAATCATTTGATCATGTTAATCCATTCCTGAAACATGCCCATGGTTCAAGAAGTTGATACAACTGTGCCTGAGAAGAGGAGAAGCTTCTCATGTAAAATCAGCCCTGATGTTGTACTGATGGAGGGCTGGGAGAGCACTCACCTGTGAAACCCCTCTTTGAGGAGCTCCTGTGTGACTGTGGTGTCCCGACAGGCTGCCTGCACATCTGAGGTGACACAGAGACAACAGGTTACAGTGTGCACAGAACAGCATAGAGATTACAGCACAACACACACTGATCACAACACACACAGTGATCACACGGGCTGGCAACTTTAACTAGTGAAGCCATATAATCCATGAATATCTCATCTGCAAAACCTCTCACAGCAGAATTCGGCTGTGATCAACAGCAGAAGAGGTTTCTTGGGCCACTGACTGAGATGTGCTTCCCAAATCATGGAATGGTTTGGGTTGGAAGGGACCTTAAAGATCATCTCGTTCCACCCCCTGCCACGGGCAGGGACACCTTCCACTAACCCAAGTTGCTCCAAGCCCCGTCCAACCAGGCCTTGGACACTTCCAGGGATGGGGCAGCCACAGCTTCTCTGGGCAACCTGTGCCAGGGACTTCCCACCCTCAAAGGGAACAATTCCTTCGCAATATCCCAACTAACTCTGCCCTCTGGCAGTGGGAAGCCAATGCCCCTTGTCCTGTCTCTTCAGGCCCTTGCCCGCAGTCCCTCTCCAGCTCTCCTGGAGCGCCTTCAGGCACTGGAAGGGGCTCTAAGGCCTCCCCGGAGCCTCCTCCTGTCCGTGCTGAGCACGCCCAGCTCTCGCGGCCTGTCCCAGCGCAGAGGCCGTTCCCGTTGCCGCGGGCACTCACGGAGGGCGCAGAGCAGCGCTCCCAGCCCAGCGCCGACCCGCCGCCCGCCCGCCATGGCGCCCGCTCCGAGGGCTGCCCGCGGCGCCGCCTGACCGCGCGAGACCCGCCCGCGCCTCGCTCCGCCGCGCCGCGTCCCGCAGGCGTTGATGTGGACAGCCCGGAGGGGGCCTTCGGAGCAGGGGGCCTTTGCCTCCAGGGCCGCCGTAGCCATGGCAACCGGGCGGGGGAGGAGGAGGAGGAAGAAGCAGCAGCGCCTTCCTGCCCGGCCCTGCGGCCGCCCGAGGTGAGGGGAGGGGCGGGAGTACAAGGGAGACGTGGGGCTCCTGGAGCGGGTCCAGCGGAGGGTACGGAGATGCTGAAGGGACAGGAGCATATCTTGGAGTAGGAAAGGCTGAGGGAGCTGGGGCTGTTCAGCCTCCAGAGGAGACTCTGAGAGGGGCCCTTATCCATATCTGTCAGGGTCTGCAGGGAGGGGCAGGGGATGGACCCGGCTCTGCTCGAGGCTGCCCAGCAGTGGGTGCCCAGCCCAGAAACTGATGCCCAAGAAGTTCCACCTGGACATGAGGAAGAACTTCCCTGTCCGGTGACCGAGCCCTGAACAGAGACCAGAGAGGGTGTGGAGTCTCCTCACTGGAGATATTCCAGACCCCTCTGGACACAGTCCTGTGCTGTGTGCTCTGGGATGGCCCTGCTGGGCAGGGAGGTGGGACCAGGTGAGCCCCTATGTTCCCTTCCCGGATCCATCTGGGATCTGCAGGGGCAGGAGGGCCCGGCCCTGCCCCGCCGCTCCCCCCGGGCCGCTCCTGCGGCGGAAAAACGGCTTTTTAACGGCAAAAGCGGCGCCGCTGCTGCGCCGGCGTCGGCAGTGCCATAAAACACACCCGCGGATCCAAAGAGCAGCTGCTCACGTTTATGTTGCTCGTCTTCACAGAATCCCAAAATGGTTTGGGTTGGGTGGGACATTAAAGCTCATCTCGTTCCACCCCCTGCCATGGGCAGGGACACCTTTCACTGTTCCAGGTTGCTCCAAGCCCTGTCCTGCCTGGCCTTGGACACTTCCAGGGTGGTTAATCTCCACTATTACGGACTTTACTGCAAATTTGAACTCTTTCCTATGTGGCTTTTAAAAAAGGAGGAAGACTTTTCAACTCTACTTCAAAGCAGTTTTTGAAGAGTAATGTAATTTTTCTCGATTTGGAGACATACATTGATTTTTTGGGGGTATAATTTGTTATTTTGGCTCTCTGCAGGGCAGTCCGAGCTCACCTTCACATTTGGCATATTTTCACTTATTTAAAACCAAAATAAAAGTAACACACTTACTCAATGCTGTAAACTGAGCTGGGAAACAAGATCTGCAGCAGACTTGGATCTTTAAATCTGCTCTAATTTAATTCCCTAATTCATTAATTTTTACCCGGAAAGGGGGTGGAGCCAAGGGCAGAGCAGATGCTGAGAAGTTCCCAAGAGCATTTGGAGACAAATGTGATAAGGCAGAAAAGAGAAGTTGTTGCTGCCAGTCAGGCTGATGTTCCTCCTCTCCTGCTACAAGACCAAATGCTTCAGAGAAAAGTGAAAAGGATAATTAGGGATCAACTTCATAACCTCCTCTGTGTAGTAGCTGACTGAGGCACTGGTACCTGAGAGTTCAGCAGTCCTTACTTTAAAATGAGACATCTCCACTCTTTAAAATTAATTCATATTTTCATTGTTAACTAATAAGAAGTTTTGTTATTTTTGGTTTTCATTTCTGACTGTTCTCTCTCCTTGTCCCGTCTGTCACAGGCTACAGATCTGGTGCTGTAGCAAGATCACTCTGAAGCTTCAGAAAGCAAACACTGACTGGGTGCTCCTGCTCTTAAAATCTTAAAAAAGGGGCAGCCACAGCATTAGATACATCAACACTGTGGATGCAAGGCTGTCACTCACCATATGAAATCAGGAGTGTGATATGCCCAGGCTTGTGACAAACAGAGACAAATAAGGGAATTCCTCCCTGTGAGGGCAGGGAGGCCCTGGCACAGGTTGCCCAGAGAAGCTGTGGCTGCCCCATCCCTGGAAGTGTCCAAGGCCAGGTTGGTCAGGGCTTGGAGCAACCTGGGAGAGTGGAAGGTGTCCCTGCCCATGGCATGGGGTGGAACTGGATGGTCTTTAAGGTCCCTTCCAACCCAAACTATCCTGGGAATCTGGGATTTTGCTGAACATGTCACTCTACTTCTGACAAAAAGACCAGCGCTGAGGGACACTCACACTTTGTTTCCTTTTTCCCTGTTTCCCAGTGAGGTTCACCATTGCTGAGGATTCTGATGAGGCCACTCCCAGCACCAGGACCGGGATGAGTTTCACTGCACAGAAGTGCGGGGTCTGCTTCCAGCCCCCATCCATCGTCCTCATCTACAGAGACCACAGCCAGGATAAGACCCGCCGGCGCATCATGCCCGTCAGGAATTTCTCCAGGTTCTCAGGTGAGGTGCATTCGTTCACCTATAGCATTCCCCAGGTCCCCTCCAGACACAGAGAGGAACTCACTGGTAACAGCATTGTTAGTAACCACTGAGTAGCCTCTTACCAGCATGCAGGGCGTGCAGACGGGGGTGTTTTGGGGTGACACTGCCTCCCCAAGGAGCCCAAGGCTCCATCTCAACCTGAGCAGTGCCTCTCTAAGTCTGGAGGGTTTGGAGAGACGCCCTTGGGAGGGGCTGGGAGAAGATCTGTCTCTGGGAAGAGCTTTGCTTGCAGCTGTAAGTCCTCGTGGTGGTTTTTGTCTCCAGACTGCAGCATGGCTGCCGAGCAGCTGAAGAACAACCCTCGGCACAAGCCCTACCTGGAAGGGGTCTCGCTGCAGCAGCTCCAGAAGCTCTACAGTTTGCTGAGAGGTCATCTGGAAGGAGAGAGCCTGGCTGAGAGCTTGGAAAAGTTTCGGCAGGAAGAGACCATTGACCCAGAGGAGGATATGAACAAACTAGATGACAAGGAACTAGCCAAGAGGAAGAGCATCATGGATGCGCTCTTTGAAAAGAACAGGAAGAAGAAGGATGACCCCGATTTCATCTATGACGTTGAGGTGGAGTTCCCACAGGATGAGCAGCTGGAGTCCTGTGGCTGGGACCTGGAGTCAGATGAAGAAATCTGATTCCAGATTTCTGTCCCAGCAGAGAGGATGATGTCAGTGCCACACAGAACTGATGCACATTGGCTACAGAGAATCCTGGACCACAGCAGTCCCAGGGTTAAGGGAGCTTTGTTTAAGAAGCCAGACTTGATGAAATGGAAACCGGGCAGCTGAAATTGTTGGGTGGTTTTAGTCTTTTCCTACATAAAAGAATTTATTTAATCTTTCAATTTTTTTTTTACATTTCAGTCAGCTTTGGCTGAAAATGAAGTGTTAAATATTCATGTCCTGAAAGCACTGTTAAAGCTGCATTGCACAAGTAGAGTGTTTCTTATTGCCTGCTGAGAAGTTAAATATATATCATTCTTTCTGGATGCATCAACAGTGCATCAACAGTGCACTGAGGATATTACTCTCACATTTCCTGAAAAATGCTTAAATCTCCAGTTTTAGCTTACATGAATATAAATATTTAAGAAAAGGAATATCTAGAAAATGAATTAGTCTTGAAAGCACTTCTGAAAACACAGTGATTTCAAATTGCTGCAATGGGGTGGTTGGTTCCTTACACTGCTGGATGATGCTTTCTTATAAGTGCTCAATTCTGGGAGAATGTGCTTAAAGTATCCAAAAAAAATAGAGTGGTAGAAAGTCAAAGGCTGGGCTTTAGAGTAAAACAAAACCTTTACTCATCCCACTGAAGCTTTTATTCCCACTGTCTACCTCAGCTGGTCTCTCCTGCAACAACTGGAGGACTAAGTTTAGGATTTTTTAGGAAATTGCACAACTCCAAAAGCTTCTCGAGTTTCAGCTTTCCAAACCCAGGCAGCTGTGAGGGCTGTGGGTGAGATGGGCCTTCATCCTGAGCTGTTGCCTGAGGTAACTCAGAGGAGTTGTAAATGGCCTCCCAGACTAGTTCCTGCCTTCCTTCTTGCAACCACAAACTAAATAAAACATGTTAAATTTATCAGCAAGATGTCTTGTGGCAGCCCAGGCGCTGGGGCTGGAGGAGCTCTCCTCCCACACACCGAAACGATGGACTCACTGCTGGGAAAATCTGGAACGGGTCTCAGTGAAACCACAGTGCTGTGCCACCACTGCAGAGCAGGAGGGAGCTCACACTTGGCCACGGGGGTCTTCAGTTAGAAACGGAAGCTGGTGCCTCACTTGCCAAAATTAAAGAAATCTAAAGCCTGACTCGGCTCTCCCAGGACCGGAAGGGGTGTGTGGGGCTCTGGCACAGGCCCTGCCTCAAAGACTGCAACAGAACAGCAGAGAAAGATCTCCCACTTGGGCGGGAGGGGGCCATGGGGACTCCTCCTGCACACCCATCCTGCACCCAGCGTTGTCCTGGCTGGGCTGGGAGGATGTGGCTGCACCCCCTCCCTGGGCATGGCCTTTCTCACAGTGGGGGCTCAATGAGGCCTAACCAGTGCCCAGTTGAGGGGGTAATCACCTCCCTGGACCGTGAGGTTCCTGCTGGCCTGTCCCTCCAGCCCACACCAGTCCTTCAGGATGGAGCCCTTCTGGTCCTCCCAGTTTGGGCTCATCTGTGAACTTGGCACAAAGGTGCTCCACAGCCTTCTTTAGGTCATGGACAAAGATGAAATGGGGCAGATCCCAAACCAAAACCTGGTGTTTTCTCACCAGCCTCCTACTAACCACTACCTTGCATGCTTCATCTTCCAGCTGATCCTTACCTGCCTGGCTGCCCATCCATCCAGACCGTGACATCCACACTTGGATGAAGAATGTTGTGGGACAGTGTCCAAAGCCTTGCTGAAGCTGAGGGAAATGGCACCCACCACTTTCCCCTTGCCTACAGATCCACCCATTTCATCCTGAGAGGAAAGCAGGTCAGGCAGGCACAAGTTACCCTCATCAATCCACGCTCACTGCTCCCAGCCACCTTCTTCTAGAGGTGTGTTCCAAATAAAGGATACTCCGTGGTTTTCCCAACATGAAGGTGACTGCCCAGTTGCCCCCTGGGATGTCCTTTTGGCCATTACTGAAGTTGGGTGGGACACTTGGGTTCTCCAGTCATGGAAGGGCCTTCCCTATCGCCATGACCTTGCAGAGATGGTGAGAGCAGCTTTGTAAAGACGTCCACCACTCCGAAAGTGGAATCTCCTCCTGTTGCCCTGACATCCCATGCACATCCCAGCTCCAGGTGAGCCTCAGCTTTCCAGGCACGTGATGGGGGAGTGTGGATTATCCTGCCCATCAGCTCAACAGAACCAAGAACCCCCGCTCTTTATTCGTGCCCTGGGCAGTGCTGGGTGCCCGGGTTCCTCCCTGCATGTGTTCCCACAGCTGCACCCCACATCCCCCTTCCAAAAGGAGATGCAGCGTTGGCTGGGGTGGGGGGGAAGCGAGCCCATCCACAATCCAAGGTTGGCCCTGGCACCCACAGCAGGGGAAAACACCCCCAGGGACTGGGGCACCTGCTCACCCTGCCAGCAGGGAGACACTGGAATGCTGCCAGGAGACAGCACAGGGATGTATTTTTAGGTCATTGCTGTCCCCCGGGGGTGCAGCTTACGGGCAAAAGAAGGGCTGAAAGAGGCTGAGGGATTCCCCAGCTGGGGCCTGGTTTGGTTTTGGCTAGTTCAGTCTAAAATAGGGCCAGAAAGCAGCCATTTCTGAGCCGGGTCTGACAGTGGGGTTCCAGAGCCTTGGCTGCACTCGGTCCCATTGGAGCTGCCAGCAAGTCCAGCAGGGTCCGACCTGCGCCACTTCCCAGCCCGGCACGGCCATCGGCCACACCAGGCTCACCCAATCCCTGTCCCACACCTCTGCCGGGGAGGGGGCTGCCCTGCTCCTGCTGCCTGCACCACCCCTGGCATCTTCCCGGCCCCACACCAGCCTGGGCATCTCCCTCCACCACCTCCCAGGACAACTCCAGTGGGCTTGAGCCCCCAGCACACCCCGCATCGCCCTGCGGAGCCCACCCACATAAGGACATGCCCCCGGCATGCCCACAACGGCACCGCGGCTTTCCCACTCCCCCTGTTCCCAATTAAACACGTTTCACTGGAAAATCCCAGCAGTGCCAGGGAATAAAGCCGCTCCAGTTCTCAGAAGGGCTTCTGAGTTAGCACAAACCACCATCACTTCTCCTTCCCCCCCAGAGACTCTCCGAGGAACAGAGCAGCACTTCCCCAGGTAGCGCTGCCCCTCCAGGAGGGACGGTGTGAGCTGCAACCGGAGCTGGGTGGAGGAAACCCCCCACACCCACCGGAGCGGGCTTCCACAATGAAGGGAAGGGCTTTCTCTTACTTCCTTTGCATGTTTAATCCAGCACTGCTGGCAGAAAATAAGTCTATGATAAAATATAAGCAGGATATAATTTACTCTCCTGCCTTTCAATCAATATTTCACATCGTTTCACTTGGGCTGTTTTTAATGGACTTTCTAACCAGGACTGTGGCTTACCAAAGAAACAAACCCCCAAAATGTGTCTTTCAGTCCTGCTGACAACGCCCATCTTATCAGCGCACGCCCAGGGTGCACGCCCCGGGCTGCCTGCGGGTTTGCAGTGCCCGCAAGAGCACGGTGGGAGGCTGAGGCTAGGGAGAGCCTTCTCTGCAGCGCCCGGGTGATGTCTGCTCCAGCCCGGGGCACCTCGTGGAGGCCGTTTGCAGATCTGGAGGATGTTTTGAGGTGGGAATAAATAAAAGGAACTGCCTGAAGGGGGGGGGGGAGAGGAAACAACACTGGGGAAAACAGTCACAGAATCACAGACTAGTTTGGGTTGGAAGGGACCTTAAAAAATCATCTGGTTCCACCTCCCTGCCATGGGCAGGGACACTTTACACTAGCCCAGGTTGCTCCAAGCCCCGTCCAACCTGGCCTTGGACACTTCCAGGGATGTGGCATCCGCAGCTTCTCTGGGCAACCTGTCCCTTCAGCCAAGAGGTGTTTGATGTCGTGTCTGCTCAGCTCTTGTCCACACCAGCTGAAGATTTCTGCTGAAGACGTGTCCCTTGAGGATTCCCAGGCTCCATCACTGGACACAGCCCTGAACCCTTTGGGTACCGTTAGGGCTCACCCAGCACCCCATGTCCTCCCTCCATCAAGTCTCCATCTCACCCACCTCGGAGAGGTTATCAGCTGTAATCCTGTAATCAGCCAACCTCCCACTCGCATTCTCTCCTGAGCCCTTCCTCCTCCTCCTCCTTCTCCTCTTCTTCTTCCTCCTCCTCAGCCATCAGTAAGGGCTGGAAACCCCACACCGGTTTTTCAGCATCTTCAGCAGCTTCTCCTTGAGCATGAGGAAGACGACAGCGAAGGCCACCAGGAGTGTCAGGCAGGTGGGCAGAGCCAGCACGAGGTAGAGCAGCGCCAGGTCGGCCGTCTGCCAGCGGCAGCTCCGCAGGACGGGCTCGGGCAGCGCGCCGGGGCTCAGGGCGTGGGAGCCGTGGCTGCAGGTCACCTCCCGCCCGTCGGGGACGCGCAGCCCCTCCACCCGCTGCAGGGCGTCCCACCAGCCCAGCGTGCAGCAGTTGTAGGGGTTTCGGCTGAGGTAGAGCTCCCGCAGGCTCCTCCCCAGCGGCGTCCGCGCTGTGTCCGGCGGCAGCGCCGGGAGGCAGTTGTCCCGCAGGTCCAGGCTGTGCAGCTCCAGGGCGCCCAGCGAGGCGGGGAAGGCGGTCAAGGAATTCCCCGAAAGGTCCAAGCGTACGAGGCTGTTCAGGGCGGAGAAGTCCACGGCGGTCGAGGAGAGGCTGGTGTTCCTCAGAGACAGCACCTGCAGCGTCAGGGCAAGGTCCTGCAGCCACCCCAGGCCCCCAGACAGTGCCTGGCAGTTGTCAGAGAGGTCCAGGTGGATCAGCGACGTTCCCTGGAAGGGGCGGCCGCCCAGCCCCCGCAGACCACAGCCGGCCAAGGAGAGATGGGTCAAGGTCTCCACGCCCCTGATGTCTACGCAGGGGGGACTCTCCGCCTCACCTGCAACGTCTGGCTGGGGACAGAGGTCAACCTGGTTGTGGCTGAGGTCCACAGTAGTGATCTTCCTGGTGTGGGTGAAAACCCCGGGAGGAAGCGCCCGCAGCCTGTTGGCACTGACGTTGAAGAGCTGCAGGTTGGGCAGGACATCCCCGACACCCACCTCTGTCCCCAGCTCCACCAGCCGGTTCTGGCTGAGGTCCAGCTCAGTCAGCATGGCTAAGGGGCCCTCCTCCAACAGGTGAAATGCCTCCAGGCAGTTCTGGTTGAGCTTCAGGTGGGTCAGTGAGGGCATCTGGGCCAGGAAGCCCTCTGGCAGGCCCCAGACCTGGTTCTGGCTCATGTCCAGCAGGCGCAGGGAGGAGAGGTTGCTGTAGCAGAGCTCATCCCAGAGCCTGACCGTCGTGATGTTGGTGGAGTTGCCATCAATGATCAGGAACTGCACGGTGACGTTGGCCAGGGACGTGCCGTTGGGGAGGCGCTGGTAGAAGCTCATCCTGTTGTCCTGCAGCAGCAGGGAGTGGAGCTTGTTCTGCCGGGGCAGCACGGGGAAGAACAGCAGGCGGTTGTGGGACAGGTCCAGCACCTCCAGCTCAAAGAGGTCATCGCTTTCCAGAGCCAGAAACCACTCGATGATGTTGTTGCTGACGTTGAGCACCCTGAGCTGGGTGAGGCCGAACCCCACCAGACACGGGAGGTAGTTGTAAGCTATGTTGAGCCTCTGCAGACTCTGCAGCCCTTCAAAAGCTTCATCAATCTCAAAGATGTAGTTCTTCTCCAGGTTCAGCTCCAGCAGCTGTGTCAGGTTTGTAAAGATGGACGAGTCCAGTCTCATGATGACATTCCTGGCCACAGACAGGGACTCCAGGGAAGATAGGTTCCAGACTAGAACCGACACCATGTCCTCAGTGAGGCGGTTTCCAGCCAGATCCAGTGTCCTCAAGGCTTGCAGAGCAGAAAGAGCAGCTGCTGTCAGCGAGTAGTTGGTGAAGAGGAGGTTGTCTGACAAGGAGAGCTCCTGGA